ATTGGTCCCTATGTTATATGGTAAATCCCCGTTGCTTCTCTACTTTATACACAGTGGTGTGTATATGTTAATCCCATACTCCTAATTTATCCCTGCCTCTTTCCCCTTTGGTAATAAGTTTGTTTTTCTATGTCTGTGAGTCTCTTTCTGTCTTGCAAATAGATTCATTGATATTACTTTTTAGAGTCCAAATATAAGCGCTTTCATATGACTTTTGTCTTTCTCTGACTTGCTTCCCTTGGAATGATATTCCCTAGGTCCATCCATGTTGCTGCAAATGGAAAGATTTTATTCTTTTTTATGGCTGAGTAATATTTCATTATATGTACATACCACATATTCTTTATTGGTTGAGATTTTGATATGGTATAAAAATAAAATAAAAAAAGATAATGACTTATTAGAGGCACTTTAATAGCTGAAACAAAATGGTTGTTAAAATTAAAGCCAAAACTAAAGAAAATGCTCCCAGTATCTGATCTGCCAACAAGTAACTATTTCTGTATGGGCTCCAGAATTCTGGCAAGGCAGAATGGGCTACGAATGTGTTCAAATCAAAACTATTCAAATTTTCAAAGGTGCTTACTCTTTACACTAACTCTGATATTAGCAACACAAACCACACCTGAAAACTTCTCCTGTGCTCCCATCATGTGGAATGCTTACAGGAAGATGCCTTAGATTTACTTGTTTCCCCATCTAACCCTCTCCACTTCCTTGTACTAGGATTCATCCACTCATGAGATCAAGCATTTTTCTTGGGTTTCTTGGTGTCCTCACCTCGCCCCTCCTCAAGTTTGCTGGTTCTGACCTCAGATTGTCCCCAAGTCTGTGTCCTCCCCTTACCCCTCTTAAACTTGGCAGTCTGTACTTGCTTTGGTGCTTGACCTGACTCCTGCAGTGCAGATGGGGGCACAGGCCTCTTTCGTTTTCACGAGGAAATCAAAAGGTACATGGCACAGAAGCAAGATATATTCTAGAACATATTTGCTTTGTAGTACAGCAAGTTCAAGTCCAGAAGTATTCTGAAAAGCATTGATTGTTAGCAATTTGGATGGGAGAATTCTATGATTTGCACAGTGCCATAGTTGATCTGATCCATCTGTTCCTTTATGTTGAACTTTAATAGTCATTCAAAAATTGATATTATTTGAAAGACTACCCTGTACCCAAATATTTTCCCCAAGGCTAGTCACAGTGTCTGAAATCTGAGCATCAGAGATTCATTTGATGAAGAAAGGAACTTCTAAAATATTTTGGGTCCTTAAGTGCCCTTTGTGGAAATAGGAATCTCCGTGGGAGGATTGTGAGGCTGGGAGAGGTTCAGAGGTCCTTGAGATTGATTTCACTTTTCAGATCCAGCTTTTCTCCTGCTCACTAGTTTTGTTTGGACTTACACAGTTTCTAATGTTTTGGTGTTAAGAGTGCTGTGGAAATGATGCTTATGAATATGGAAAATGAAAAGGGAGGAGGTGATGTGTTGTTGGAGACAAACACACTTAGTTCATCTTTGTAAGTTGCTTAAGATGCTGGCGCAGAGGGCTGTGGCTCAAGTTAAAGAGAATGCCCAGGGGAAAAGTCATCTGTAATGTTAACTAGAACCATGAGTTAAGCCTAGGGGACTGGAGAATGTGGATGTAGTTCAGAGAGGCCTCAAGGACAGCTTGGGAGGCAGAAATGCCACCCTAGGCAGAGGGTCTCACAGTTGGGACATATGGGCTTCTGGCTACCATCTTGTATGTCACACCTACATACAGTCAAGAGAATGGGCTTTGAACTAGTCATCTGGGTGGAACGGGGTGGGTGGAAGCTTCAAGAACTGCTGCCACCTCTGAGTTTTATAAGAAGTGTCCTTACTCCCTTCCTGTCACTCATTTGCTTAGAGGTGTGTTAAATGGCTTATTCTGACTTGTCCTGAAACCCATACCTCCCCCAAGAAAACTTGCGTATGCCCTGACTTCTCCTCCTTTATAACAACCATCATCTTTTAAAGAGGCCCAGAGGCTTCCCTTCACTTCCCATTCATTCCTAGGTAGCTGTGTAGCCAGCTGTGTGACTCTGCAGGAAAGCTATGAAACATCCACATTTGTGGTTTGTGAACATTCAAACCCATCACAGCTGATCCCTTGAAACAGAGATTATAAAGGGCAAATATGGCCTCTGATCCATGGGATTATTTAAAACTTTTTAGTAGTCACTAACCATTTTCTTTGGGGAGATTTTATGCAAAAGTAAAGGTGTTTTCTTGTTTTCTTTTAGAAAACTCAGAAGGTATAGACACACCAGACCTATATTTCTCCATGGTGGTAGTTGGCTGGGGTTGAGTTGAGAGTATGACTTCCAGATGGTGTATGGTCCCTATGGTTGGTCATAGTCCCTATGATTTTCTATTGTCCCTCTACTGGGCCCTCTTTGCTCATTTAAAATACATGCCTGGCAATATCACTGATGAACATACATGCAAAAATCTTAACAAAATTCTAACAAACAGAAGCCAACAACATATTAAAAAGATCATACATCATGACCAAGTGGGCTTTATCCCAGGGATGCAAGGATTCTTCAACATTCACAAATCAATCAATGTGATATACCACATTAAAAAACTGAAAGATAAAAGCCATATGATTATCTCAATAGATACAGAGAAAGCCTTTGACAAAATTCAACATCCATTTATGATAAAAACCCTCCAGAAATCAGGAATAGAAGGAATATACCTCAACATAATAAAAGCCATAGATGATAAACCCACAGCAAACATTATCCTCAATGGTGAAAAACTGTAAGCATTTCCCCTAAAGTCAGGAACAAGACAAGGGTGTCCACTCTCACCACTACTATTCAACATAGTTTTGGAAGTTTTGGCCACAGCAATCAGAGCAGAAAAAGAAGTAAAAGGAATCCAGATAGGAAAAGAAGAAGTGAAACTCTCTCTGTTTGCAGATGACATGATCCTCTACATAGAAAACCCTAAAGACTCTACCAGAAAATTACTAGAGCTAATCAA